AATCAATGGACTTGAGTTCTATGGTCGATCCTTTGATGATATATTTTGCCTGACAAATAACACTACTGATATCGATGTTGTACTTAAAAAAATCCATAATTGTTAGCTCGTAGTGCCTGCTTCCTCAGTGCTATACCTCATTTATAAATTAGGTTTTAGATATAAAATCTTTCTATTTGTAGTAGACAACTGCTTATGAATTGATTATGCTTTGGATTTTTTATAATTCTGTCATGCGATATGTATGGTTTACTGTACTATTTATATGCATGTAATTTTCGGTCGAGCCTGTGATACATAAAGTGCGGATGTTCAGTCGTACTTTAGGAAAACAAATTGGATGTCAAGTGTGAAAAAACGACACTGAGACTATTTTCGATGCTAGTTTACAAAAAATATCTTATTTTCGTACACTTATTCTTTTGGCACTTGCATAGCTGTCAACTCATTTGGGTACATATCATATTAGAATACGCGATCCTGGTCTTATACATCATTTATTTGCTGATATCATTGCAATCATTTCCTAACTTTGGGTTTGTATGGTAAATTCTTCGAAAAGACCATGCCTTCAGGTATAATTGGAATAACCATTTCCTAGTACTTTGGTTTTATTGGGTCGTTAGATGATTGCTAGTAATCTGTTTGCCGTTTGAATATTAATATCCTTTGGTTAGCGAGGCCTCCTTGTTGTGTGTTTTTTTTTATACTTAAACAGAAATTGAGTGATGACACAATTTTGGGCATCTTTCCAACTGGAGATTATTTTTGGGGATTGTTTGTCCTACCTTAGAATATTTTATTTCCACCGCGCCCGCAAGGAAGCTGTCGTTGGATTTTAACCCTTTGGGCGGAGGGGAGGAGATTACTATACCACTGTTGTAGACAAAATAAACATTTACGAGTGTCCTGAATACGGAAACAATCACTGTCTAGTACATTTTCTGGCGTATCTCTTGACACGTTAGCCGACATTCAGAAATGTGTCTTTTTGTTCGGGAATTATTACTTAGGTGAGACTTAGCAATTTTGCGTCTTGACGTCGGTTTTTTACTACATTTTTTGGTTACCCGCAAAACCACATTCATAAAAAACTACCCAAGTAGTATGAATTTTCCATTGATTTTCAATGCCCTTTTAAATTTAAATGTATTTTGTAGGGAAAATACGTAAAATGCCCTTTCTTGTACTCATTCAGAAAGATATTACGTCTTTTTAACGTTCTATTTAAAACACGAACAGCTTTCGGTTTTCAATGTTTTTAATAGTTTTAGACACTGAATGGCCCTTTAAATAGCATCGCATATGTCTATTCAATAATGTTCCTTATAAGGTATACAACAGGGACCCCTTATCTGCGCATGACTCAGACTTGTTCACGATTACCTATGACCTTGGGAAGTTTGACCAGCTCCTGGCCTTCATGCGTTCGCACAGCATAGCG